CACATCTCTCCCTCTCTCCCACAGAAAAAATGTCATCTACATGTACCACCAACATCAAAACAACGNAATACCATCTCAACTCTCCCAGGTTATTCACTGGCACGGACTTGTTAAGGGTTGGCGCCAAACTGGTCACATCTCTCCCTCTCTCCCACAGAAAAAATGTCATCTACATGTACCACCAACATCAAAACAACGCACACATCCATCCTCAATCAAACGAAACACACAAGCATCGGCCATGCACTGCTCAAAACCTAACGCCACCAAAAACCGCTTCAGCATTGCATGCCACTGCCTTGATGCCTGTCTCAAGCCATACAAACTCTTGCTGCCTAGTTTTACAATCATTCCCGATAGAGATCCACATCCCTGCGGCAAACGCATGTACACGTACGTCTTCCTCCAACTCCGAACGCACAAAAGCTTGCTCAATATCGTAATANCCGCTTCAGCATTGCATGCCACTGCCTTGATGCCTGTCTCAAGCCATACAAACTCTTGCTGCCTAGTTTTACAATCATTCCCGATAGAGATCCACATCCCTGCGGCAAACGCATGTACACGTACGTCTTCCTCCAACTCCGAACGCACAAAAGCTTGCTCAATATCGTAATAACACAAGTCGAGGTTCAACTCGCACGCCAAAGCAGCCAACATCCGAACACATGAAACAGAAACGGTAGGTAGGTGCGCACAACTCTCCAAAGTCAATGTACTCTCTCTGCATGATGTCACCTCTCGATACAAGTCTCGACTTAACCTTAGTGGGCCATCCACACTCATCTGCCTTCCAATCGAATACCCACTTAGCGTTAATTGCGTTCTCTACTATATGCTACTACAAACATTTAATTAGAGTAGAGACCTTTGGAAGTGTTCCTAATCTAGAACTTGAAGTACTAAGAATAATAATATGACATGAGAAGTTAGCATGCATCAGAGTACTAGAGTTACGGAATGAAAGGTTGAACTACGCGGGGTGCAGCAAGCCCGTCCTGGGCGATACTTTGGGCACTGGGTAGTCGGCCGTGTTAGGCCGAGAGTGAGAGATTGAGAGAGAGGTGGAGAGCGAGTGGGAGAAGGAAACTTGATTGGAGAGAGACGGCGTTAGCGGTGGAAGGAGAGAAGGAAGAAAGAAGTGCGCAACACGCACGCAAGCTAGGCCTGTCCTCCATCGGCCGTTTTATTTTCGATTTAGATACACAAACTTTATTTCTATACTAATTTCAAGTAATTCCACCTTCTTATTCTCCGTCATACAAGCAAAACTGCCGATGGAGGACAGGCCTAACGCAAGCCTCATCGTTCCAACCGCGCCAAAAGGGTCCCCGTGACTGCACCGATGGTACCCTACAACACACGAAATTCCCCACACGTATCCCCTTGGGATCCTCACGACCAGATACTGCTCAGAACATATCTAACACGGAAGATGACTCCGACTGCGGAGTATGATACACTGGGAATAACGACTCCAGATAGTCTCTGGGTATACTGCCAATTTTGATAGTAGAATCTAAGTAGTGTGTGTTGTCAGAGTACATTTCGCTGTGCACTAGCAGCAGTACGATGCCGCAGATGCCGGTAGGCTGTGTAGCCTGCCTCAGAGGTTCACACTCTGTGCGGCTCCAACCGCGAGAGACTTGGAATAGAAATATGAAGATGTTTTTATTAATCGCTGACTCCCGAGTCACATGTTGCTGGTACTGAAGAGGAGTGAGAGTAGTGGGCGAGCTTAGGGCTGCACCACTCTTCTCGAATACCGGACAAATAAGCCAATCACACGAAAGATCCAGAATGCTTCCAGAATGATTTCTGGAAGCCCTCCTACGTTCTAGAAGAGTATCAACTGCAACCTAGATCTAGAACGCTTCCAGAAGCTTACAGAAGGTTTCAGGAGTTTCCAGAAGGCTTCCAGTAGCTACACACGTTCTACGTAGATGTCCCGGTCAACCTTGACCTAGCATGCTTCCGGAATATTTCTAGAACAAGAAATACATGCGACGGAGAGATGGGTTCTTTTCTACTGCTACGCCGACTAGTTGCTGCAATCGTATTCAAAGGTCAAACCGTGTCCGACTACTGGTGGTCTCGACGCACGATTTTCCTGACACGACCCCTCGATCAAGCAACAAATTCAACAAGGTCGACGGCATCACCATATCCTTGTCTACCTCGACGCCTCCGTTGGTATCGTATCGAAAATAAATTCCTTCTCATCTGGCGGGTATGGAAGGAAGCTTCACAGATCTCCGATCAACACGAGACGTCCTTGATCTGCTGAATGATGGAGACGAATCGGTGCTTTGGGAGGAACTTGGTGGCGATATCAGCCAACTGGTGCTCGCTGGGCCGGTGGTGAAGAGTGATTTGTCCCAGCAGTACTAGCTCCCGGATGAAAAAGTACCTCAGGGCCACGAGCTTCGTGCGTTGAGAGTGCGTGGCATTCCCGGCCACTGTCAGCGCTCCGGTGCTGTCGCTGTTGATGGGAACCGATCCGAAGGTCTTGACGTTGAGCTCAGTCATANTATCAGCCAACTGGTGCTCGCTGGGCCGGTGGTGAAGAGTGATTTGTCCCAGCAGTACTAGCTCCCGGATGAAAAAGTACCTCAGGGCCACGAGCTTCGTGCGTTGAGAGTGCGTGGCATTCCCGGCCACTGTCAGCGCTCCGGTGCTGTCGCTGTTGATGGGAACCGATCCGAAGGTCTTGAAGTTGAGTTCCGTCATAAAATTTGAGATGTAGACCGCCTCTCTGGCTGAGTAGCTAAGTGCTTGAATCTCGGCTTCGACCGTGCTTTGCGCGGTTAGAGTTTGAGTCTTCGCACCGTAGCTGATGAGTCCTCCAGCCAGAAAGAAGAGATATCCCGTGGTAGATCTTCCGTTGTCGGGGTTTGCTCCGAAGGATGAATCCGTAAACGCCGCTAGCCGAAACTGTCCTCTCTTGTAGACGATAGGAAGAACCGGATTACCCCGAAGGTATCGCACATCGTGCTTGGCTGCTGTCATGTTCACCTGCGCTGGGT